ATGGTAATTTTGTGAGATAGGAGTTTGGGGTTTTCATGAGCTGTATGCCAAAATCATCCGTATTAAGAATCTAAAAGACCTAAAATATTGCAGTTAGTGTGCAATGAATCTAAAATATATGAATTTTCAAGTGTTCTCATTACATTATGGAAAATAATGAGCTTTATCACAATACCCTAATATTTTGAGAAGTACTTGTAAGTTCTGCCTCTTAGAGATGGTAATTTATGATATGTTACTAAATATTTCTGAAATAGCTGTATTAGCTGTAACTTATACAGCTAAACTAGTTACTGCAGTGCATGTGGGCATGCAAACATGTTCAACATTTGATGCATATTTACTTTACATATGTTGAGTGTCTTTGCTAGTTAAGTGAGCATAATAGAGCTTTATACAGTCTGCTAAATAAAACCATAAAGACCTGGCTTCTAAAGGAAACAACATGTTTAAGGTGCTGTGATTTAGGGATCAGTTTAATCCGTGACATTAGCTGCCCTGGCCTCACCAGTTCTCTTTGTAGACTTTCATCACTAATGAACGGAGGAACTTGGAATAAGAAGATCTTTTTTGCTGTACAAACTAGCAGCACCAGCTGAACAAAGGTGTTCTGAATGAGCGTATCTTACTCTACAACCACGCTGACTTTGTCCGTCCTATCCAGAAAGATGACGACTCATTATTTATTCTGGAAAAAGATTCCATGCTTTAATAGCCAACAATTTCTCCAATTGCTAAACTGCAATCCTGCACGGAGCAATTAAAACCAGGCAAAAAGTTTAACTCTGTGTCGATATGTGAGCTTCTCCAGACCCACATTCCCAACTCCTTGAGTCGACATGACCCCGGTGAATACCGGGTGTCACTGGTATTCACCAGTCATCACAAATCTCAACAACAGTAAACCAACAATGAACAAACAAACAAACAAAATAGAAAAACTAGAAAACGCCCTCACACTGCCCACTAACCAGAGGACCATCCAATTAATATGCAGTATAGTAATTGGGATGCAGGCTTTGTTAAATTTCCCTGATGTGTACATAACTTGCTCATTTACACAGTCACCAAACCTTTGACATGTCCTTTTATGTATTTCTTATTCTGCCATCATGTTTGACTTTTCATTGAGAGTTTTTTCTCTTCATATTTCATTAAAAAATGAGTTTCTTTTCATCACAGGAGAAATATGGTGCTTTAAATTCTACACTCATGATCGTGGTTGGTCTGCAACTGTGAACCCACCCCTTTATTCGTTTAACAGATTCAAGATTAGTCAAAACCAAATATAGTTAGCAACTTGACAACCAGCTTTGTGGTACCACTGATCCAGATTACCTTTGTTGTGGATTGGGTAAAATGGATAGACTGGAAAAAATCCCACTATATTGAGCTCGCTTCGTCGGATGGGCCCCTAGCTTCCAAACCAAGTCACTTTAATGAAAGATGCCCCAGCATTTAACCTCCTTGTTTATGTTTACAGTTTTATACAGCAGAATTTCAGTTATCTGATGCAGAAAACTACAAAATCATAGGGCCGGATCTATCAAAGGTTTGCGTGTATAAAAACGTCAGCTATTTCACTGCGCACGCTAAAAAATGTACAAACTGATGTTGCGTGCTAAAAGGATTTGGTCTTTAAAACGTGCTAAATAGCGCCTCTTATCCATTTAGTACTTTTTCTGCAATGAATATGCAATATGGGGCGTTTACACGCAAAAGTGCGTCTTGTGGGAGGAGAACATGTAAATATATTAATTTAGCACTCGCAAAGTGATTTATCAAACCTGAAAGCAATTTTGCTAACGGTATCTGACTCTATATTTAACACGTTTCAAAAGAAGGTGCAAATGGTCTGTATGCGTAATTGCGCACACATGGCAGCGGTTATTGTCGCAAGAAGGAGACATCGGAATGAAGCAAGGAGACGCAGAGAACGCATTTTTTCACTCAGTGTGAATATTTTTGGAATGAACGAGGAAACGATCATCAAAACATATCGTTTATCCAGCATTGCCATTTTGGAGCTGTTGGGGGAACTCCGAATGGATTTGGAGCCAGCCACAAGGAGGACCCACGCAATACCAGATATCACAAAACTCCTTGCAATATTGCACTTTTTTGCGTCTGGGATCTCCCAATCTCGTTTTTCAGAAGTGCTGTCTGACGTTCTAAATGCCATGTCGCCCTGACGCCCTATCGGAGAACCCCGACCTCCCCCTTGCGCCTGTGGAGCAACATGCCAATGCTACGGGGATGCGTACGCGCAGTAATCACTTCCACAGTCACTTCTTGTGAGCCATTTGGTATGAGCATTTTTCTACAGGCCAATACAAAACACCTGTTTTTTTTTTTACTGCAGTGAAGTAGAAATTCAGCCACATACCACCTCTTAGGGAATAAAGGTTGCCAAAGTGTATATATATATATATATATATACATTTTTTTTTTTTTTTGGAGGGGGTGTCACTGTAAGATAAAAATTTTTTAATGCACTAGTTTATACAAACTACAAACTACTTTGCCGCAAACCGCAAAACACGCAAAACCATCATTTAAATAGGGTGTCTCCAACAGATTTGCACCTGCCACCAGTTACGCAATCGCTCTTGTTAAATCACCCGCAAACCATGGTTCAGCCCCTCGCGCAAAATTCCAGTTTGCAAGCGCAAATTACTGCACGCAAAATCGGATCTTGATAAATCCGGCCCATAGTGTTTTCAAAAATCTTAATTTTTACAAAATGCTTCATTTACCTCATTTTGTGTTTAAGTGTAATCTTTGTAAATAATCAAACCTTATAGCATCCATCCATCCATCCATACGTTATGTGACACACTTGTCCCAAGTGGGGTCGCGAGGGGTGCTGGTGTACACCCTGGACAGGTCACCAGTCCATTGCATTCAGCATATTTTTTTTAAATACTGCTACTATGTATTTTACATTTTTGTGCCCTAATATATTTTTGATTACATAAATTGATATTTAAAATGCATTTTAATAATTTCATAAATGCAACTCCTTCACTATAAAAGCATATTATAACACTTATCTTCTAACCTGTTTAAAAATGTCCAGCAAAGAATCGACTCTAAGACTCTACTGTTGATTAAAAGGGGAAGTTAGACTCCTATCACTTCCTTTCTTCCTCTCAATGAGGTTAAAAACATGAACATTACAGCTCTTTATTTGGTCAGCGTATTTAGAAGTTCTCCTCAGATCACTAACAGGAAACTCTGCAAGCTGTTTAGAGCTAAATACAAACATTAAATTCTGGATAAAATAATCCTGCATCTGAGGGAAGCTGAGTGAACCAGAGAGCAGAGATGAAGGCCGTCGTTGGAGTCTTACTGATGTTGCTCCGAGTCTCTCATGGTGAGGTTTTTATTTTCACCGAGCACCACATTCGTTCCTTTCCATTTAAATAATATGTTTTAAAATATAAATTTTTTAGTTTCTGTTAAACTTTGAAAGTTTTGTAAACTAAAATTCTTTCAGGGAAAAATATATGAAACTAAAAATAAAAGGATAATAATAATTATATAAACAAAATCCAAACTTCTAATAGGATTGAAATGTCCAATGACCATTCAGGCTAGTCTGATTTGCTTTCTTTATTATTATTTAATGAGTACAGCTTAAATTGTTTGAAAAAAATAAAGAAATATTTCTTCCTGCTCACGTTTCAATGTAAACCCCAAGGCTAATCCTTCCAAAACTGATTCCAAAGCTGAGTCAAAAATCGCCATCAGAGCTAACGGTCCTTCAAACAGCCGCTGCAGACGGGCTGCGGTTAGCCCTGGCTGCCATTAGCAGCGGTCCTCTCAACTTTGGATTTTTTTCAATTTTCTTTTTTTAATTACACATTAAATCGGTAAATAGACTATATAGTGATGCTTTAAAGTATAATATTCTCGCCTCAAATGGTCTTAAAACGTACTTTTATTGAACAACAGCAACAGAAATTTATAGCCTTCAATGGTGCGCTCCATTGAAAGCTGCTGCTGCTGCATTGCATGCTACTGTTCAATAGTTGTTGCCATCTTCCTTGTTGTGCTTTCTCCAGTGTCGCGCAGCTTTGTCGTCACGCCCTTAAAACCCCGGCCGCTTTGCATCCAAAAATTCAAAACACATCTCTGCGTAATGATTGGCCTGCCAGTTGTAGGGCCTGACTCATTGATCAAGGCTAGACCACTTGCAGGAAAAAATTTTTTTGGCCGCTGGTGGGTACGGCTAGTTTACTAGGCTAAAATTAATCTTCTTGTAGGGAAAAATACAGAAAAATAAAAAGTAAATGTTCCAAACTTGTCTAATAAGATTAGATCATTAAGGCTAGTTTGATTTTCTGTTTTTAAATTATTATTTTATGAGTAGAATGTACTTTACTTAAAAGCCATAAATGTTTTTCAAATTTAATTTTACTTTTTTCATCCTCTTCCATTTCATGTAAAGTTTAAGTTAAAATATTTAGCTTTAATAAAAAATCAATTGAACATTATATTAAATATTTCTAGGAGTAATAATCATGTGTTGAAATGTTGAGGCTGTTCATTTTATTTTAATCACATTTATTTAAAAATTAATTGTTGTATCTGTTTATTTTTTCGTAATCAGATATAAAGAAAGGTGTATTTTTTCTCTCCATGTAGCAGAAAAGAGCTCAGCAGAACCTTTTGTTTGATTTACTAGAGGGTTTTTTTTTGTTTTTTTTATAACGTGAGTTTTGGGCACAGAAACAGATTCTCAATCTGAAATAAATAAATACAATTCTTTAAATCCCTATCTTATTCTGTTTTAAGATAAAGTGCTGCTGCTTGAAGCTCTTTGCTGTTTTTCCATCACAGCTGTGTTTCATGCTCAGCTGTTGAACATTAAACAGTTAAAGTCACTGTGATGTTGCACAATACAGACATAGTGGACAAATAAGCCCGTGATGTTGTTCAGGATTAAGTACGGTATTTATTTTCCTTGAAGATAATGATTAATATTATTCTTTAAGGTGCAGCTGTTTCCTGTGATGGCCGACAAGATGGAGCTCAGTATTATGGAGCTTTGGGAGGATCAGTGGAGCTTCCACTGGAGAACGACTTCTCACAATTACGCCGTGTTGATTTGAAAAAGAATGGCAGTGTATATTATAGGTTTATAGTTTCACATATGCGAAGCTATAAAGATGGAAAAATTGTCTTTTATTCAAATAATGGATCATTTAGGATCAATGACCTGAAGATGAGTGACAGCGGTGAATATGAACTTAGAATGTTTGGTAAAGATGGAAAGGAAATAGGATCTAGAACTGTGCAGCTCTGTGTTCAAGGTAATTCCCTGTTTACCTTCTACCTTTTTACATTTTATACTTTTTGTATTGGTTCCACCACTTTAAATGTTGTGTTAATCATTGTACTGATTCTAAATCCAAACATCTTATAACAGCCTTCAGTATAAATTCTGTATTTCTCCAGTTTTCTACCAAAAGGTAAAGAAGACATTTAATCTAATCAATGTGTTTTTCTCTCTCAGCTCCTGTGTGTTCTGTCCAGCAGGTCCATCAATGTTTGTCCCAGGGACAGATCAAGGTGTCCTGTCTCTCTGAAGGGGACAGTCTTCAGTACAGCTGGACTCTGGATGGAAAAACACTGACAGACTCTGAACTCCTCTCTGGAAATCATCAGACTGACATCATCGTTCTAAAACCGTATATATCAGGGCATCTTTTCTGCTCAGTCAGGAATCAAGTCAGTTCATCCTCCAACGAGATCAACATTCCTGATTGTGGTGAGTGAGAAAAAATACAATAAAATAGTTGATGATTAAGATCCTACATGACATATAATCCTGTTTGATTCTTGGCTTCATATTCATTAACTGTACCATCAATGGGAAACCAATAGCTGAATGGGTGTATAAAGAAAATAACACCCTGTGTGTTGAACCAACAACTGTCCCTCCAACAGTTAAACATCATAGTGTGGGCAAGGAGACAGTCAATTACTTTACCTCTTAGTCCTGACAAAAAAATGCAACTTTGATATAATAGGACACTCTAAAGGGAAAATGCAGCTCCAACTTAAATGTATTGCTTTAATCGGTAACAAGTAATTGAATCCAATTGATTTACTTAATTTATTAAGTTTATAGGTTGGAAACTTAAATAAATGAAGTTAGGCAAACTTTATTGAAGTACTTGTTACCAATTTAAGTAATTAACTTAATCTTAGGTGCATTTTTATAAAGTACAAGTATAAATAAATATTTAACAAATCTTTGAGCTCCTGAACCTAAAAATATTATGTACAGTAAAATATTAAAGTTACAGAAAAGTCATCAATAAACTAATGTTATCTTTTTCTTTAAACAGGTCCATCTGTTTGGCTCATTTTGGGATTGCGTGCTTTTGCTGTCAGTCTTCCAATAATTCTACTTTGTCTTTATTTCACTTGGAAGAAAAAGAAATTAGAAAAATCTGAACAACCTGATGTCTCACCAACAATGGAGAATCCAGGGACCTGTGTTTTAATGGTTCCACTGAATTCTCACCTTAAACAAATCCCACCATGATTGCAAAATAAGAGTTGTAAGAGAAACACCATAGTAATTTGTTCAAAGCTTACAGATGAATGTAGTTTGATGCTTCTCTGTCTGTTCTCATGTAATAATTTAGCATTATCATCATTAAACCATGCCTCTGTATTTACTCCATTACTTTCATTTCTATATATGGTTAAATAAATAGACAAATAATTAAAAAATTCTTTTCGCTGATTTTTAGAAAATTTTGAGAAAACATGTTGTGTATTATAATATATCTTAATCTCTGTATTGAAAGGATAAAATAAAGATGAATCCACACAGTAACGGATATCTAAGGATACCTGACATGTTTTGAACCTCTTATATAAACAGTAGTCATTTTAAAAAGCCTGACTAAGAAGTGCAAACTGCTTCTACTAAAGATTAATACAGGAACATTCTTGTTACAGAGGAAAAGAGCCAATCACACCACCAAGCAGAGTTACGAAACCATGTTAACATGTTTCATTACATTTAAACTAATGAAAGTCAAACACTTCAGAGTATGTCAATAAAATGTATAATAGCTCTACATATCTGTGTTAAAGATAAGTCCTGAGATGGAATTAAACATATCAATGTCATATTACACAGGAGTGGAGTTTTTACCACTGAGTTATCTTTAGAAAACTAAATTAGACTTCCTCCTTGAAATGACAAACAGAGCTTAAAATGCGCCCACAGTCTTTCACTAAGTGTAACTTGCTCTTGCTATTGTAGTTGCTTTTTTTTAATCCAAGATTTTTTATAAAAAAAATACATTTATTCTAGTTTTTAACAAAAAAAAAAAACATTTAACCAACAACCTCAAGAAGTTGTTACATTCAAGCTGATTTTTGCAGTTTTTGTCTTAAATAAGATGCTGCTGTCATTTTGCACATCTCTGATGTTGCTATTTTCAATTATTCATTACTGTAAAAATGTCAACAGCTCAATATTGGTTATTTATTCTCCAGGTGCACAGTATTTATAGTGTAAAATTCACTTTAAAGTATAGTATTTTATTTGTTTGTAGTTATTTGTTTCTTTTTTCCACGTTTGTGTGACTTTTGCTATAATGTTTTTGCTGCTGTAACACCAGAATTTCCCCACTGGTCAACCAGCGGATGTACAATAATTTCGACATACCCAACAGTTGATAATTGTGATACTTGAACGTTCCTACTTCCCATTAGTCCCATGAGGGTTTTTAATGTATTCCTAATGTGTTTTTCTCAGTGTTTTTTTTTTCTCTCTGTTTTTTAAGGTTGTTATTTAAGGTGAATCATGTGTTGCTTCTGTGTGCAATAAGCCCTTGATGGAATTTGAGATTGCACAAACATTTACATATCAGACAGCAACATAATTAGGTCTTTGCAAAGTTTTCAAAACATGTTAACAGATACAACAAAATATTCTCTAACTTAAATCATCTATAGCCCCTTTATCCAGTCTTTGGATTTTTCAAATTGACAGATTTCAAAATGGTTACCTAGCTGATGTACAATAAATTAGAAATACCCAACAGTTTGGACTTGAATATTACTAAGTTTCTAATAGTCCCAATGAGGGTCTTTAATGTATTTTTAATGTGTTTTTCTCAGTGTGTTTGTTTTCTCTCTCTCTTTTCCATTTATTATTTAAGGTGAATCATGTGTTTCTTCTGCGTCCAATAGGCCCTTGATGGAATTTGAGATTGTGCAAACATTTAAATATCAGCCATATAATTAGGTCTTTGCAATATTTTCTTAAAGGATAGGTAGATATAGCAAAATCTTCTGCAAATTAAATCATCCGTAGCCCCTTTATCCAGCTGGTTATTGAGTGTTTTCCACATTGACAGATTAAGAATTTAAATAATCTAATAGACCTCCTCTGAAGACACGTTAGACTAACATCATTGTTATGACACAGAATGTCCGCCTGAATACGTTTTTTTCCTCTCTGTGGTTGTTATACTTTTTTGGATTCTTAATGATATCTATAAATGTTCTTCTTCTCACAAGGATTTTATTTAACATATTCAAATAAACTGAAGTAAGGGAACTTATTCTCTCCTAACTAAATCTAAAATGGCTGCCACTTAGTCAAGGTAGAAAATTACGAAAAAATTCCCATACAAACATTCTTTCCAAGGATGTTTGCTAAATAAGTACCCTTTCATTTCACAGATAAAAATCCTTAACTTTTGTACAAATAGATGTAATAAGATCTAAAAAAGATTGATTAGACAGTAAAATAAATGAAAGATCAAATTAATTATTAGAGCTCTGTTGCAATATAAAATAAGATAAAAACATTAATCTAAACAGTGGTGCACTCAGTTTTGTCACAGTACAGTCTGTCCTTCCTTTTCATCCACATAATGAGAATTTTTGTGATTTTAAAATCATTTGTGGCTTTAGACTAGAAACCTCTTTTCTCTTATTGCTTTAGAAAGTGCTCTTTAGAGTGCATTCATGTATTTCCCTGTCCATGTCCATTCCTCACATGCAAAAAAGATGACTGTTAGTGGCCCATCTTGGTCTCACATTAGTTATGCTGGTGTTACAACAAAATCTGTGACCTATCATTAATTGTAGCCAAACGTCTGCTATGATGGAGTCTCCTCGCCTGTCTGCTATTTTCTAACCCTTACTACACAGAATTCATACCTGAACCTTAGGTCACAAAATAAATACCTAAACCTTAAGAAGTCTATAGTAAAATACGTGAAGCAACCCTTTTAGGTTACAATACACAATGGTTCACAGATTTTGTTGTAGCACTGGTACTGGAGAATCAACATCTGAATTATTCCTTTAGCCAAGGCAACAAGTAAGGCTAGTTGGCTAAAGGTTGAGCAATTTGTTTTCAGTCCATCAGGAACAAGAAGAAAGGGGAATTTATGGACATTTGAATGCTTGATTTTACAGAGACGTGGCTTACGTCTGTAAGGATGCTGGTCCTGACTTCATCTGCGGGAGAACACTGAGCCACAGCTCAGTGGGTTTTCACCTACTGTAACTCTATCTGCTGTGCCTGTACATAGGAAACATTCACAGATTTTAGAAAACCTTTAGGTACGAGCCTCCTATTGGATAATTACTCCATGAGCATTATCTTTCTGCTGGCAGCAAGTTATTTAACCCCAACTGGTGCAATGACCTGCTTCTTATTTCCTAAACAACAATGTGGAAATACACATCCCGATGTTAGTCTGTATAAGAAGGGTCAAATCATTGGCATGCATGAAGCAGAGAAAACATCTAAAAAGATTGCAGAAACTACTAAAATTGATTTGAGAACTGTCCAACACATTATTAAAAACTGGAAGGATAGTGGGGACCCATCATCTCCAAAGAAGATATGTGGCCGGAAAAAAATCCTGAATGATCGTGATCGGCGATCACTTAAACGTGTTGTGAGATCAAATCGAAGAAAAACAACACTAGAACTCAGGGCTATGTTTAATACTGAAAGTAAGAGCATTTCCACACACACAATGCGAAGGGAACTCAAGGGATTGGGACCGAACAGCTGTGTAGCCTTAAGAAAACCACTAATCAGTGAGGCAAACCGGAAAAAAAGGCTTCAATTTGCTAGTGAGCATAAAGATTGGACTTTGGAGCAATGGAAGAAGGTCATGTGGTCTGATGAGTCCAGATTAACCCTGTTCCAGAGTGATGGGCGAATCAGGGTAAGAAAAGAGGCAGTTGAAGTGATGCACCCACCATGCCTAGTGTCTACTGTACAAGCCTGTGGGGGCGGTGTTATGATCTGGGGTTGCTGCAGTTGGTCAGGTCTAGGTTCAGCAACAGTATGTGCTCAAAGAATGAGGTCAACTGACTACCTGAATATACTGAATGACCAGGTTATTCCATCAATGGACTTTTTTTTCCCCTGATGGCACAGGCATATTCCAAGATGATAATGCCAGGATTCATCAGGCTCAAATTGTGAAAGACTGGTTCAGGGAGCATGACACATCATTTTCACACATGGATTGGCCACTACAGAGTCCAGACCTCAACCCCATTGAGAATCTTTTGGATGTGCTAAAGAGGGCTTTGCGCAGCGGTCAGACTCTACCATCATCAATGCAAGATCTTGGTGAAAAATTAATGCAACACTGGATGGAAATAAATCTTTTGACATTGCAGAAGCTTATTGAAACAATGCCAGAGCGAATGCGTGCCATAATCAAAGCTAAAGGCGGTCCAAAAAAGTATTAGAATGAGTGACCTTTTTTTTT